CCCCTTCCCCCGCCTCCTTCCTATGACTGTCAGAAACTGGAGGCGCGCACAGGAACCTGTGAGAGACACGACGAGCAGCAGCAGCGGCAGCTCGCTAGACTTTTTTTTTCTTGAATTACCGCCAGAAACAGCTCACTGGAAGCGAGCAAGAAGAAACGGAATGTAATTTGGGAAGGGAGGGCGACGACACACGGACGCACCATTCATTCCCCTCTCCCCTCCTCCCTCCTGGGATGTCCACTGGCCGTCTCTTCCCGGCACAGCTCTGCCAGACCGTCACTTACCATCTCACACTCACCTGCAGGCCTGCAGGGCATTAAAGTGATTTACTCGCCACGACTCGGAAGCATCGTATAAACAATTCAAAGCAAACACATCCAAAGTGTTGGTGGGAGGACTGAGCTGACCATGGGCGGCAAAAAAGAGAGACAGAGAGGAGGGAAGAGGGGGGGGGGGGCGGAGTAATGACTACCTCACTGAGTGTACGCGTGAGGATTATGATGGGCTGGACCAAAGTGCTACGTGGGGCATGTACCATATGATCTCAGACCCTGAACACGCACACAGGGAGGAGAGAGGTCGGATTATATGGTTTGGCCTAACGATATTATCACTACAGCTACAGTTTATTTTGTTGCGGTAACCATCATGGCTTTAACTCATTGTTCAAAAGCGACGCTATGAAACAAAACGGCACATCTTCTCGAGCTAGACGTTTGTATGTATCCAGATTCCCGGGCTTCCTCCCCTACCCTCATCTATTCCGCTGTGGTACATTGACGCCGGGGGTAGAAGGGATAGGGATGCGATCTCTCGCGCGCATATGATAAGGCTGAAAACAAAGAGCGTCGAGAATGAATGGGATAAAAAAAGAGGAAAAAAAGGAGCAGGAGAGACGTTATCGCACATGTGGATCCCAGCGGCCACGCCCCGCCACGCCCCGCCACGCCCCGCCAGGCCGCGCCTTGCGGGACACGATAATCCCTCAAGACCAACACAAATCTTGTCTGTAATTGGGTTTTAAACCCGCATGTGCCCTTTTCGCGGCCCCGCAGCAGCGCCGGCGCGCGCAAAGGAATAAAAATAATCGAAAAAAAGGGAGCGGCAAGCACCGCGAAAATCCCCCGCCCAGTCGTCTGGTACCCCCCTTTCCGCTTTCCCCCTTTCCCCCCCGCTGGCCGCAGACTCTGTTGACAGGCTGACAGACCCCAGCAGACAGGTGGGGAAAAACAAACCTAGCCGTTCAAAGAGGCGGCCGTTATTCGCTGTCCCGTCGTCTTCATGGTAAAAATTTAGTGAAAAAAAAAAGAAAAAGAAGGGACTTTTTATTTTGAAAATCGCGAAAGCGCAAGAAAGAATTTATGTTGATGCATTCGTAATGATATTAGTACCTTCTTCGTCGGTTCAATCAATCTGGCCCGAAAGCATGATGCGTTCTGTACGTCTATGAAAAACTGTTTCGAATCGGAAGCAGGACGACGGTAAGGGGTGTTCTGCACGACAGCGGCAGCCACCAGGTAGAATATGGTAATGAGGTTAGAATTTTTCTCCCCCCCCCCCCATGATGATTGTGTGCGCGCTAACCCTTTTCCCATCCTCAACACCCCCGTCTTTCATCACGCAAGATGAGAGATGCTGCGCTAAATTATGCACCTTGAGTCCAGCCGCGGTTACTGTTAAGAACTGCTGCCCGCCGCGCGCAGGGATGAAGAGAGGAAAAGAAAGGAAAGAAAAGAAACAACACAAAAAGAGCGAAATGTGTGAAGAGTTTTTTTTTTAAATTTTAATTCCCTTTTCGCGCGCTTTGGCAGCGAACGCAGATGAGTTGAGTTGGCTGGTCGTCGCTTCAAGATGGGCGTGGCGCATGTCGGGACCGTGTGACGCGAACTGCGACGCAGCGAATCTGTCAACACAAAGAGGAAGGGGGAAACTCTTTATTTTTTCCCGAAATTATTTTGCTGTGCTGCATTTGCATATCGGGCTAGTTCTGTGTTTACACATCTGGACCGTTCCGCCGCGTTCTGGCTCAGCTATCCTTCTCCGCCGCGGCGCTCCTATACGGATGAATCCAGAAGAGTCAGTCGTTCTCGAACATCCGAGTCAAAAAGAAATCAGAAATGTTTTTATTTCTCCCGTGCGCGTTACTTCTCACAAGAAATATATCTTTTTATACAAGAAAGAAAAGTAGAGGTGATTTTCATTATTTGATATTAGACTTTTGCTGTACCCGGCCCCACACGACCCTCTGGCAGCTGAGATTCTTGGATATTGGGGCCGTTATCCCTCGGCTGATATCTGCCCCCCTCCTCGTGGAGAGGGAGGAGGGGCGGCGGCGGAAGGCGGGCGGCAGGGACAGACACTCGGCTCCTGCCCCAGCGCAAAACTTTTCCGAGGAAACGCCTCGCTTTGATGAAGCGGTCCTGATAGAAATGCTATCATGATAAATGGATGTGCGAAGGTGGAATCGGATGCAGTCAGCCTCCCTCCCAGTGGCAGTGCTTTGGTGTAGTGTGCGCTCGCTCTCTTATTACCATTATGATTGCGCTCATGGACGGGCGAGCGAGCGCATCGAGAGCCGCGACGACGACCAATGGCGGATGCGGACATAGCCGCTTTAGCCCCGAAACGCGAATTGAAAGGTTGGCGCGCTTACGTGACTGGCTGTACTTCCACCGGGCCGGGCGGTGCCGGGCCTGGGCCCCAGGGGCCCCCTACCGCCCCACAGTGGGGAGGGGGTCGCAGGGAGGGAGGGGGAGGGGCGCAGCAGCCACCACTTCATTTCTTGTACGCAATCAGGTCTGTGGATCTTTTTAGAGTTCTCCCGTTGCGATTGGTTTCTTTACGACGTGAAAAGATGACATCCCGTTCGATTTGGCTGCGAAATGGTCTTGCGTCCCCCGCACCTATTTCTCTTTCTCTCTTTCTCTCGCCTGGCTCCCTACACTTCTCTCACTTTCTGGCCCCACTCTCTCCATTTTCTTCCACTCCCACAGTCTGCTGATCGGTCTCTGATGTGTTGCCGGTAATGAAGTAGACTGTTTTAGTTTTTCTCTGCATTTTGGACTCTGCTGATGCGAAAATGTGGTCCAGGCTGATTGAAAAAAGGCCTTGCTTACTCTGCCGTTTTGAGAGCGTGAACGGACCACTGCCGATCTGTAAATAATTGAAATGGCATTTTTTCCCTTACTCAAAAGTTAGTCGAAAGATTCTCTCACGTTAGAGTACTTTTTGTAAATACTAATAATGTCTTTCGAGCCTGCAAACAATCTTATCCGATATTCCTATGATTGCAGGAGGTGGACCGGAAGACGACACACGAGCTTCTGTGGAATACTCTATTAGGTGACCTACTACCCCGTACTGGAGGTTCGGTGAGTTTTACTACAATTGCTTCGTTCGGAGCGTTTATTTATTTTTCTATCTAAGTCCAAAATGTCGAAAAGGCTATACGCCCGAATGATGTAGCTGAATGTGAGAAGAGCTGTCGCTTTGCGCCTTCCATATTTTTCTCCGTCTCCTTCAGCTGCGCAAATATGACTCGATAGCGGGAGGCGGTGGGCCGCAATGCCCTGGCGCTGTCGGCTCGCCAATCGTAGGTAAAAGGCCGCTAGCTGCCACAATACGCTGGTGGGGCCCCACCCCCCATACCGCCTCTCTGCTCGCTCTCGCCCTTCTTTCCGTGAATGCCGCACAATTTTTCACCCTCGTCATTTCCCTCCGCGCGAGACGTATAAACACACATTTCGCGGCGACAATGCCAGACTATACCTACCATTTAAGAAGTCCCGCGAGTCCCGCGCTGCTGCAGCAGCGGGGGCAGGGCGCTGCTGGTGAAGATGAAAAAGGCTCGGGCCTGTTCGGCTCGGCTCGCTTCGGTTCGGTTCGGTCCGCGGCGAACTCGCTTCGGTTTTTCCCCCAGCCCTCACAACTTAAGATTTCAGCCGAAGGTGGCGCCTTGCGCGGCTCTCTGGCCGGGGGTAGAGGGGGTGG